CTATCAGTACCTGTCTTTTTTTTTTAAGTGTGCTGTATTGATATAGCCTTTTTTCTTGAGCATAAAAATACTTGCCAGTATTTGCGTGTCCACAGAGAGAGAGAGAGAGAGAGAGAGAGAGAGAGATCAGAACTTCAGCTAACTCTAGGTCAGGGGCTGTTCCATTAATCTGAAGGTAGGTTTTGTTTTCAAATGTGAAAATATGCTTGTGAGCATATGGGCAAAGTGTGGCGCTCCAGAAATTCTTGGACTGCAGGTTTGCATTTTGCCCATCCCTGATCTAAAGTCTGCTTAGACATATGCTATGCCCAGTAAAGAGGAAAATCCTTAGAATCCCATGGGTCCTCTCCCACTCAATCCATATGACTTTAAGTTGATTTTAAATACTTAAAGAGTCAGAATCACAAGCCTCCTGTTTATTCTAGGATGGCTGCAAATTTTGCCTGGCAACAAGACGTGTCTGATAACAGCAAGCCAGTGTCTTGTGGTCATCATTCACATTCTTGCATAAATGAGAACAGAAGGAGTGTGGCCCTTGATGCTCAGCAAGCTCCTTTTATAGAGCTTACTTACCTTAGCCAGCTAATATGTTTATAATTACGTCTGGTCTTGCCTGCTGTGCAGACAAACCTCCACAAGCATTTGAAAAAGCTTTATGCTAAGCCCTGAGCAACATCCATCAGCCTCACGGATGAAAGGAAGTTGATCAGAGGATATATTATCATTGTATGGAAAGGCATTATCTCTGCAGATTGAGGATATAGCAATTATTTCTACATCTTTTGTATGCAGTATGTTTTCTGGTAATGGCCCTTACATAACCACAAAGTTGGGAAGGAGCTTCACTTGAGATCCTTTGCTGTGATCACATGGTCAGCAGCAAAGCTCTGCATAATGTTTTGTGGGGGTGCAAATCTCACCAAGTCAGAGGAGTAAATATTTCATACATTTCACAGTATCCCTCTCCCACATGGAGAAGAACTGTGGCTGTGTGACTCAGCCTATTGTAAGCTCAACGTTATCATCTCCAGGTGCAGCAAGGAAAGAATCATGGCTGAAATCCTGGAAAGTTGCTACTGCCCAGTGTCAACAGCGTAGTCCTAGATTGACCAAGGATGTGATGCACTATGAGGTACCTTCCTATAACCCTAGACGTGCTCAGGAATTCCAGATTCTGTACTAGAAAATGAGAGTGTCTGCTTTCACAATAAAGTCTACAAAAAAAATCAAAATTCATATAATCATGAGTTTTGGTATAGTGTTATTTTAAGGGTTCCTGTAGGGACGTGGTGGCACTGTGGGCGAAACCACAGAAGCCTGTGCTGCAGGGTCAGAAGATCCGGCAGTCGTAAGATCAAATCCACGCAACGGAATGAGCCCCCGTCGCTTGTCCCAGCTCCCGCCAACCTAGCGGTTCGAAAGCATGCAAATGCGAGTAGATAAATAGGGACCACCTTGGTGGGAAGGTAAACAGCGTTCCGTGTCTAAATCACACTGGCCATGTGACCACGGAAAGATTGTCTTCGGACAAAACACTGGCTCTATGGCTTGAAGAGCAGGATGAGCGCCGCCCCCTAGAGTCGGACACGACTGGACAAAAATTGTCAAGGGGAACCTTTACCTTTACCTAAGGGTTCCTGTGCATAACAGACTTACTAAAATTTAATTCTATCTCATTAGCTGAAGCTATTTAAAATGATGCCATCAAAAATCATCCCTTAAAAAGACAGAAAGATTCTCTTGCATCTATGCTAGCTATGAATTAGGCAACCTGGACAGATCATAAGCTGACATTCTTTCCTGTTTTCTTCCTGGGACATGGCAGCCTGCCACCACTGTTGGAAACAGGCTGTTTGTGGTAGAGACTGATGGTGGCAGTGATTGCTCATACATAAAGTTTAACCAGGGTTGTGTATGCTTTGAACTCTGTATGTGAAGGAGAGAGAAAGAGAGAGATTGATTCTGTGACAAGTTTTTCCTCTACACCAGGAAGAGATATACAGTATTATATATGAGAGCTAGACAGATAATCATTCCATGTGGTTATGAGGAATAGCAGAAGGCTGTTAACTTCGTAATCCAAGCACTGAAAGTTCTGTTGTGTCCCCTCTCCCTTCTAAGTTTTTGCTCACATGAAGGCTAGAAAGTTTATTTTCTAAATGAATGAATGAATGAATGGTTAAAAATCACACTGGAGATTTGTACAATGCCTTATAGGCTAGAAAGAGTTGTCACCTTGGAAATGAACCTGCCTGTCAGTTAAGATCTTCAAATGGGGGCTTTCTCTGTATGTGCCTATCTTTAGAAGTTAGGTGGATGGCTGATAGTGAGTAAGTCTTTTGGTGATGGCACTACTTGAATGAAATTCTTTTCCTGTTGGCATCATTATTTTCTTTTGAGGTAACAGCAAAGTTCCTTTTTGTGTAGCTCGAGATAATTGATTGTAATGCTATTTGGGCTTAGGAAAGAATGTTTCTGGAGCTAATAGCAATGGCAGTGGTTCTGCTGCAACTTCTGAAGTGTCTGCCTGTGGAGGTTTGTCAGTACAGCAGGCAAGACCTGATGCAATTATAAACAGCTGGCTAAAATGGGTAAGCTCTGTAAAAGGACCAGCTTGTTGAGCATCAAGAGCCACACTTTTCTGTTCTGATTTATGCAAGAATGTGAATCATCACCACAAGACATCTTTGCAGGGATCTGCAATATTGGCAGTAGGCACAGGTGGTTTCCTGATATGTGATGTACACCTCACTTAATGTTGAAATCACTCTGACTTCCCATGCACACATTAAAACACTATAAATGTAAATAAAATGTAGATGTCTCAAAACCAGTCAGCAACTGTGAACCACATAAAATTCCTATGTAGAGTTTTGAAATTCTAATTCTAATCCTAAGGATGTTGATCTGGTCCAGTAAGAATGGTTTATCCTGCTTCTTCAGTGCTAGCCAGGATGAATACTAATGAATATGTAGAAGGGAATTTCAGAGAGACACGGCTAGTGCTAGTGTTTTGACTCATGGAGGAAGATACAATCCTAGGGGCTCATCCATGCTTGGATATTCATAATTTGATGATGGCATTATCAACTGATCTGATTGTGTAAGTGGAGCATGGCAGATGAAACCTTCATGTCTCCTGACATCACTGCAAACTAATACGTTTTTGACTTTGTGACACGTTCAGCTGCCAGTAGTGAAAGGCAGAGAAATCAAGTGATGCACGTGGGCATGTAAACATTGCAATCTAAAATACTCAAGTGAAGTGGTTTATATCTCTTGTAAGATGGTATGGATGAAGGGAAGAGAAAGGAAGGAGCATGCTTGGATAAATGGTGGGTGAGGGGGATAGCTTTGGGGGAGGGGCAGAGAAGGCAATGCTCACCTTATGTATGCTAGGTTTGATTTAAGTGTGTTCCCGGTGATTCTGTGGTAGAGAGACCAGGCTAAAAAGCACAAGTCATACTAAGGATGGTGTCAGAGAATTCACATACAGTATCCCTAGAGAACATGCATGTAATAGTGCCATTGATCCTAATAAACAAAGGTGACTTGGAATTGCTCTATTAAGACAAGGTAATGGGACTAGGCTGCCAATAAAAAGGAGCAAACATACTTCATACTTCATAGTGTCCTCTACCAATGTAAATTTTAATGCCTTCTGAACGGACTCTGTATAAGAATGTGTCCTTTCAATAATTTTTTTTCCTTCAACCATGAAATTCACACAGTCAAAAACCTTACCACTGTGTAGTCTGCATATTGGTTTTTTAAAAAATGGATTTGGTTTACATCACTCCTTAGAAATGTTCAATTTGGTCAAACAATTTTATTGATTGATTGATTACATATGAAGAAAATGCAATCTGGGTTGCTATAACTTTAATGCCTATTTTTCACAATAAGTATGTTTTCAGTCTTCCTGCCTAGATAGTCACTGCCTCCAGTAATCCTCTGTTTAAGTATCCAAAAGTGTGTGTTTAATAAAGAAAAGTACTAGAGTTACACATAATTACAAAGAGACAGTAGTAAGTTGACTAGCCTAAAGGAATAAGCATCACTCAATCCCAGAGATCTTGATAGGGCTTCGAAAAATTTACAACAGTTAGGGCTGGAAAACAGGATTGATCAGGTTTGTTTTCTAATCTCTGTATACTGCTGTTTATCTCTAGAAACATAAATCATGGTTGAGAACTTCAGATTTTTCTGGTTATACCTGCAAGACTGATTAATAAGGAAAGAAAGAAGATGATATGGATATAATATGTTATAACAAAATATTTAGAATCCTTATTCTATACTATGGTCTTTGAGTAATAAGAAATTTTGAGTAATGAGACATTCAGATTATCCCAACATAGGGTGTATTTGAAACTTTAAAAAGAATTTTAACTATACGAATTTAAAAATCTGATTTAAATTTTAAAACTGTAATTCAACCAAAAAATCTCGTTCAAAAGGATAGCTCTGTTATGTTCAGCTATAGTTGTCAGCTTGAAGTGCAGTATTACACAGTACCTGCCTCTAAACTCTGTTATTGTGTTCTTCTTTCTGTATTCAGTAGGACTTATTCCTAGACATATATGCTTTTCCTCTTTTGGTTTCTGTATGCACTATGTCAAGGTAGCACTACATAAAAACCCAGGCTTTTTCCTTCTTTACATTGTATTGTGGCTTTGGAAAACAGTATGCCCTTCCTCTCATACTTTGACCATCACGACAATGACAGTGGAGTGGACAAGTGTGAAGCTCAGCCTTCCCCAAGAAGATGTTTGTCAGGCATGTTGTACTACATAATGCATTGCCATTGATCATGCAATCCATGGTTTCTAGAAACTCTAGTCCAACAACATCTAGGAATCCAAAGTAGTAAATCTCTGGTCTAATACAATAGCACTGTTTTATTGCATTTTGTGAAGTGTTGCAAGAAGCAACTGGTAGAAGGTGGTGCAAATGTAAGGATATTATTGAAAGCCATTCTGTTTCTGTTTCTCTGGCAGCATGTGGGGAAGCAAAAGGCAGCGCGGAGGATGAAGGTGAGGCTCAGGCTGGATGGATTGAGGGGGCAGCTATCCTCTTCTCAGTCATTATTGTAGTGCTAGTTACGGCTTTCAATGACTGGAGCAAAGAAAAACAGTTCCGAGGCCTCCAGAGCCGCATTGAGCAGGAGCAGAAGTTCACAGTCATCCGCAAGGGGCAGGTGATCCAAATCCCCGTGGCTGAGATCGTGGTGGGAGACATTGCTCAGATCAAATATGGTGAGTGGAATGTAACAACTGACCTAATGATTTCTTTTGTTCCTTATATTACTGATCATCTCTTAAAAGTGAAGGAGGTCAGGAATTTTCCCTTGCTGATTTTTTGGTCATTTCATAACCCTCAACACTACCAGCACTGGAAATATCTTGGATTCCAAGGACTGAGGTAGGACTAGTAAGTATAGGAGCAGCAGGAGCCAGCGTGGGTTTGGTTTGATGCAGGATAGAGATGGGGAAGTTGTGATCCTCCGAATGTTGTTGGATGGCAGTGCCCAATGGCCAGCAGCATCTCATGTTCTCCATTGTTGATGTAGGAGATGAAAAATGGGTGAGTGAGATGGAATAAGACGCAATTAGCAAAAGTAGGGATGTGTGACTCAGGGAAGTACAGAGCTAATGAATGTGTTGTGTGTTGTGAATAACACATTTGCTTGAAGTCCTGTTGCTTAGTGTAGTAACAACTAGAATAGGCCTATTTGAATAATTGCAACACAGAGAACTTAACTTGCCAAATCCACAATAATTACATTGGCTTTCTCTAGTGCGATTAACTACACTAAGCAACAAGATTTCAGCCACAGATAGAAATAGATTTCAGGGGTGTTTTGTAGGCTCTCCATTATGGGAAAGTTTGTTGTTGTTTATACCCCACCTTTACACTACAAGGTAGAGTTCAAGGCAGTTTACAGTCTTAATAAACAAATAAAAACAAGTAAAACCAAATTTAACTGTAGAATTATAAAATCAAGTAAAAGCAGCTACACCATAAAACTATTAAAATCAAAAAATGTCTTAAACCATTACAATTGACAAAGAGTATAGTCGGGAACAACTCAGAAGGCAGGTTAAATATCATGTGCCAGTCTGAAAAAAATGTGTGTTTTTGTAAGAGATATCCATGTTTAACTTACAGCTACTACAATGCACTGTATATGAGGCTACTCTTGAAGAGGGTCTGGGATCTTCAAATGATGCAATACATGGCAGCTAGCTTGCTAACCACTGAACAGTATAGTGTCCCTATTACTTTCATACTGAAAGACTTGCACTGTTTGCCTTCAGCGTACCAGCACTTTTCACTCTGATTTTTAAAAAAGTGCTGGTACGTTGAAGGGAGTGTGTTCCACAATCTGGGAGCCACCACAACGAGAAGGCCCTCTCACGTGTGCTTGCTAGGCAGGCATCTGAAATTGTTGGTGTTCTTAAAATGGATTTTCTGGAAATCTTAATGCCCCAACAAGTTTGTAACAATGGGTGGTCCTTTAGATAGCCAGGCTCTAAGTCACCTAGGGCTTTAATGGTTGAAACCAAAACACTGAGCTGGGCTCTGTAAGCAACTGGCAAACAGTGCAACCCAGCCATTTCCTTACCAGAGCTGGTAGACTTTGTCTCCGCGGCACTGTTGGAACCCCTGAGGCTACTGGTCTTGGGTGATTTCAACATCCATGCAGAGGCAGAGACTTCTGGCCCAGCTCTTGAGTTCTTGGAAACCATGGCTTCCTTGAACATGTCCCAACATGTTAACGGCCCAACTCACGTGGGTGGTCATATGCTAGTCCTGGTTTTCTCCACCAGTTGGTGTGAGTGTGGTCTGATGGTGACTGACCTTGTGTAGGTTCCCTTGTCATGGTCCGATCACCATCTAATAAAATATGACCTCTCAATGGCTCTCCCTCCTCGCAGGGAGCATGGACCTACTTTAATGGTCTGCCCTCGAAGGCTACTGGATCCCATAGAATTCCAGGATTCCATGAGAGGGAATCCGGCTGATCTGACTGGTGCTCCTGTCAAGGTTCTGGTTGATGGCTGGTTTTCTGATGCCACCAGGGCTGTAGACACAATTGCTCCTAAACACCCTCTCCAGCACAGAGTTCGGCCTATGTTCTGGTTTAATCAGACCTACGAGCGATGAAGCAAACCAGGAAAAGGCTAGAGTGCAAGTGGAGACGAAGCCCGATGGTTCCCTTGTCATGGTCCGATCACCATCTAATAAAATATGACCTCTCAATGGCTCTCCCTCCTCGCAGGGAGCCAGGAGCTACTTTAATGGTCTGCCCTCGAAGGCTACTGGATCCCATAGAATTCCAGGATTCCATGAGAGGGATTCTGGCTGATCTGACTGGTGCTCCTGTCAAGGTTCTGGTCGATGGCTGGTTTTCTGCTGCCACCAGGGCTGTAGACACGATTGCTCCTAAACGCCCTCTCCAGCACAGAGTTCGGCCTGTGTTCTGGTTTAATCAGGACTTACGAGCGATGAAGCAAACCAGGAGAAGGCTAGAGTGCAAGTGGAGACGAAGCCCGATGGTTTATAATCGAGAAGGTGTCAGAGTCACGACTAACCTTTACCTTGCTAAGGTAAGGGCTGCTAGTCAAGCTCAACTCGCTGACCAGATAAGCGAAGCTTCAAATCAGCAGGCAGAACTTTTCCATATAGCCCGCGACCTATCTGGAATTGGTCCAAGTGATGGGCCTCCTCCTAGTATCTCACCAGACCAATTTGCAGCATTTTTAAA